GTCTAGACACACCCTAGGCCAAAGGGCCCAAGCCTAGGGGTTCCAGACAACCAGGAGGCCTCTAGACAATAGGCATCCCTGTGCCCTACTCTGCTCATCCAGCACTCCTATCGAGAAGCAGGGTCATGAAACACTTGTCCCACTCCATCTGCCTGGTGCTCCTGCTGAGGCATAGAGGAAGCCCATGTGCCCCAATCCTTTTACCCAGCAGAAGCACCAGGCAGGTGGGACAGGGAAAGTCCATGTGCTCATATGCCCTGACCCCCCTCCCCAACAGCACTACCTGACCCCACTCTATGGAAAGAGTTCAGATGGGGAAGGAGACACTGCAGATGGAAGGGCTGATGATGGGGCCCCTCTTGCTCTGGCTCAGGGCCCCACAAACCCCTAATTCACATCTGGCTCCATGTATCAGTTAAGACATTCTGATTATGCTCTTAAAGGAATTGACCGAGGAATTCCTACCCATGACCCTTAGGATTCAAAAAACTTTAAAGGCCTGGGAAGTTTCACTTATCATGTGTTAGAGAGCTTACTTTACAGAAGGTTTTTCTTCCTTCACCATTTACTTCACAAAGTTTCACCCAGTAATATACTTCCAGATAGATGACAGCTTGATAAATCCTAGCTGACAACAATCAAAAACAGAATCAAATATTTCACACACTAGGAATTATTTATCTACTTTATGAAAATGATCCATTAGATTTGGAATGGGATGACCACAAACATCTCAGGAGACAATGTTAGTTGTCCGTATATCAATGCAAGAAGTATGGGGAATAAGCAGGAAGAACTTGAAATGCCAGTAAATAAACACAACTTTGACATAGTTGGTATCATAGATACTTGGTGGGATAATATGCATAATTGGAATATTGATATAGAAGGGTGCAGCTTGTTCAGGAAGACTAGGCAGGGGAAAAGGGTGGGAGGTGTTGCCTTATATAGTAAGAATGTATATACTTGGACTGATGTTAAGAGGTACATAAGAGAGAGACTTGTTGAGAGAGTCTCTGGGTAAGGTTAAAAGGGTTAAAAAACACAGGTGACGTCATGGTAGGGGTCTATTACAGACCATTTAATCAGGAAGAAGAGGTGGATGACACTTTTTTTTTAAACTAACAAAATCATCCAAAGCACAGGATTTGGTTGTAAAGGAGGACTTCAACTATTCAAACGTCTGTTGGGAAGTAACAAAGCAGGGCACAGATTATCCAGCAAGTCCTTGGAATGTATTGGAGACAATTTTTTTATTTCAGGAGGTAGAGAAAACTACTAACAGGGAGGCTGTTCTAGATTTGATTTTAACAATAGGGAGGAACTGGTTGAGAATTTGAAAGTGGAAGGCAGCTTGGATGAAAGTGATCATGAGATGATAGAGTTCAGGATTCTAAGGAATAGTAGAAGGAAGAACAGCAAAATAAAGACAATGGATTTCAAGAAAACAGACTTTAATAAATTCAGGGAGCTAGTAGGCAAGTTCCCACGGGAAGCAACACTAATAGGAAAAACAACTGAAGACAGCTGGCAGTTTTTAAAGAGACATTATTAAGGGTGCAAGAGCACACTAGTTTAATGCACAGAAAAAGATGGGAAGTATGGCAATAGATTGGCTTGGCTTAACCTGGAGATCCTGAATTATTTAAAAATGAAAAAGTCTTATAAAAAAGTGGAAACTAGGTCAAAATACAAAGGATGAATATAAACAAATAACACAAGTATGTAGGGGTAAAATTAGAAAAGTGAATGCACAAAACAAGCTCAATCTATCTAGACACATAAAGAGTAACAAGAAAACATTCCACAAATATATTAGAAGCAAGAGGAAGACCAAAAATAGGGTAGGCCCATTTCTTCCTGAAGAGGTAAAAACAATAACAGAAAACGGGGAAATAGCAGAGGTGCTTGTCAACTTCGAGTTAATTTTCACAAGGAAGGTTGATGGCAGCTGGACACCTAGCATAGTAAATGCCAGTGAAAAACGGGATAAGCTCAGAAATTAAAATAAGTTAAAAATACTTAATGAAATGCATCTTAGAATACTCAAGGAGCTGATTAAGGAGGTATCTGAGCCATTAGCTATCATCTTTGAAAAGTCTTGGAAGACAGGAGAGATTCCAGAAGACTGGAAGAAGGCAAATATAGCGTCCATCTATAAAAAGGGAAATAAGGACAACTCAGCAATCTACAAATCAGTCAGCTTAACTTTTGTGCCAGGAAAGATAATGGAGCAAATAATTCCTATGAGAGAAGACTGAAAGAACTGGATGTTTGTGGCTGTTCAAGCTCAGGAACGGAGGGAGAGGGCTGGGGACAGAATGTGGATCGGGTGATTCATGGTGCTCCAAAAGTGCTGGGAGGGAGAAGGAGAAATAGGAAGTGTGGGGCTCCAGTGTCCCAGTGCATAAGAGGTGTGTGGGGAAGAGTGCCAGACATGGAGACTATAGGCTGCAGGTGGAACCCCTGGGCCCACTGAAATAAAGGAGGACCACTCATGCAGCCTGCTCACTCTTCTTGGTTGCCTATCTCTGAGGGCATGGGACTGGAATTGAATGGTCCCTCCCAGTTCTAGGATTCTATTATTCTATGATTCTGTAAAACACAAAATCTTCTATATTTTGATAACTTTACTCACTAAGGTTCACAGACAACTTCAGCCCTAGTGCATACCCAAATTGAAAAGAGCAGCATTAGTTTAACTGGGAGGAAAAAGAAGTCTGTACAGATCAAAATGCATTATCACCAAATGATTCTTGCATCAAGTCTATAATTTCTGGTTGAGATCTAGCCTAAATTTTAGAGCTATTCAGTCTTGATTTAAACACTTCAAGTGACAGAGAATCCCACATTCCTTTGTTTGCTAAATTAAAGGGCTCTCTACCATCAGAAATCTTCTCCCCGTGCAGGTGCTTATAGATACTGATCAATTATTTATTATTCTCTCTCGGATAAACTGAATAGACTGAGTTTCTTCAATTTCTCACTATAAGGCAGGAGGCCTTCCAGACCTGGAATCATTCTTATTGCTCTTTTCTGAGCCAATTTGTCAATATCCTTTTTAAAAAGCCTGGATACCTGAATGGACTGCAGTATTGCAGTAATAGTCTCACTAACTCCTTACACAGAGATAATACCATATTCCTACCTCTATGCAATATCATCTTGCACATACATTCTTCAAGGATATACATATACCACCAAGGATAATGTTTGCTGTATTTGCTAGTGTATGCCCTAGGAGTTTATGTCCAGCTTATTATCTATCATGGCTATCAACTCCCTTTCAGAATTACTGCTTTCCAAAATATAGTCCCCCATCCTGCAAGCATGACCTATATTCTTTATTCTTAGAAGTATAACCTTAAATATGCCTGTATTTTTTAAAATGCATGTTGTTCAAATGAGCCCAGTTTATCAAGTAACAAAGATAGTTGTATAGAACTGACCTGTTGTTATTCTTTATCATTCTAACAAATTTTGAGTCATCTGCAAACATATTAGAAATGATCTTATATTTTGTAAATATGACTGGATCTAAACAGACTATAGGAAGCAACCAACCAGTCCGAAAATTGTGAAAGAATATACGAACGTTGTCCAATCCTAAATCTCCTGAGTAACTACCGAACACAATAAGTCACAAACAAAAATACAGCAAAAAGTTAATTAAAATAATCACTACACAATGAAGGTGAAAGATCATTCTTATTTATATTTGATTTTTTTTTTCAGTTAAGAGAAAGGAACTGCAAAAACCTGTAGGAAAATCAGAAAGAGATTTAGGAACTAATCACAATGACACTGAAAGCACATAAATTAGCGATGTGACAACACTATAAAACATGAATAGGCAGACAACAAAGCCGAGTATTGTTAACATTTCATCACTGTTCCTTGTAAAACAAATTACGTGTTGACAGATCATCCTGTTATTTGGCATGTTGCACTAACATTCTTAGCTTGAATTTTTAAACATTATTTTACAAAACAGTCACTTCATTTTAAACACATTATTCAAAAATTAAAGATTAAAGATTTTGCAACACTTTCTCCCATGAATAGCCCTTACTCATACAAGTAATCCTACTGACATACAATTTATGCTTAACTTTATGTATGTGAATTTCTATTGAAATCAATGTAACTACTCATATGGTTAAAGGCAGACAGACGTGTAAGTGCTTCAGAATCAAGACTTGTGTGAATAAGATTCTGTGAGTAAGGGTTTGCGGAGCTGAGCTTTAAAGTCCAAATTGGAATACGCATGCAAAACTTGACTACCTTAAGAAGTCCTATTGACAACAGTGCTCATGTATGACATGACAAAAAAAATAAGCATGTGCATACGTATTTGCAAGATAAAGGATAAATATATGAAACAGTCACTAAAAACAAATTAAAATGTGTCTTAATAAATCAGATGCAAAACAATATCTTTATTGTTCTGAGCAATATTAATTCTAGGTGTTTATGGTTTAAGATTAATATAAATAAGAATATTAAAATATGTCCGTAGTGCCAGTGTAAAACAGAATGTATTGAGGCATTTTGTTTCCAGAACATTTCCTTAATAATAAAATATTTAAAATAATGAAGCCTTCAGAAAAGTTATTTTTAACTAATATTCACTTAAACTAAATACTAACTACAGGCAGTCACAACCGGGGTGAGGCACCCCCGCACTAGCTACTTCCCCCCAGCAGACTAGGGAGATGCGAAGCTAGCGCGTCCCCCTCCCCCCGCCCAGCAGACCAGGGAGAGGTGGAGCGGCTTTTCTCAGCAGACACTTCAGCTTGAGAATAAAGGGCTGAGGGAAGTGAGGTGTGGGAGAATAAAACTGAGCTCTGGAGAAATGTTTGGCTAGAGTTTCCCCTACAATATGTACCAGTTCCGACTTACATACAAATTCAACTTAAGAACAAACCTACAGTCCCTATCTTGTACGTAACCCGGGGACTGCCTGTATAAAGCTAAACTGAAAATAGATGAGTTCATACCTATTTCTTTCCATTTGTTCTTCAAAAGCAATATATTCTGAGCAGAGTGATGCTTTCTCCTGGTGGTACAGATCCTCTGCTGTAAATAAAAGGTAATGCCCTTTTCTGTCGAAAGTATGATATACTCTTGAAGCCAGCTGCAGATCAGCAGGTAATGCAAAATTAGGAGAAGCCGTACAAAGGTGATGAATAACTGAATGATGTTGACCTCTGGGGGACAAAAAAAAAATCAACTATGTTAGGATTTTCACTGTCTTCTGAGATCTAGATTTCACATACATAGATTACTACTGCATTAGCATCACAGACAGTATTTAAAGATTTAATACATATAACTAGTAGAAATTATTGTACAAGGAAAAAGAAAATGTTAAAATCTCTGACAGTAGCTTTAAAGTAGAAATTAATTACATAATCCAGAGTCTTTTTCTTTTGATTCAAGCACAACTTTCATGAGTTTCATTGAGAGTTTCACTTGTGTAAGTAATCTAGGGACGCCTAAATTGTATACATATGTAAATAGGCTGAAACATTACATGAACACATCAATGAGATCAGAGACACATCTACACTGCAGCTGGGAATGTGCTTCCCAGCATAGGTAGACAAACACATGCTAGTTTTACTGGAGAAAGAGTGCTAAAAATAGCCGTGTAGCCAAGAATAGCACGAGCAACAACTTTTATTAGCCACCAAATATGTAACCAAGAAGTTCAAATGGACTTGTCCACAGACAGCTAACCCAAGCTTCTACCCATGCTTTTCCTAGCCACAATGCTATTTTTCACTCACTAGCTTGAACAGAACAAAAATATGTCTGTCTACACATGCTGGGAAGCATGCTCCCAGATGTAGTGCAGATGGGATTTAGGATCCATAACAGAATTCCTTGAAAATAATGTCTATAACATTTTGGAGTTGATTATGTTAATGAAGTCCTATCTTCATTTGTACATTTTCCTAACTTCTTTCAGTTCATAATTCCGGAACAGTCTGGCCCATACAAATTTGATTTAATCTATTGACTTTGTAAGACCTGATGTCTTTGACTAACTTTGGAAAATTAAAGTTATATAAGTCCATCATTTAGTATCCTGATCCAAAACTCTCTGAAGTCAATGAGACTCTTTCCACCAACTTAATGTATCAGGACCTAAAAGACATTTCCATCTATTTTATGGACTCCACAGAGTTACCAAATGTCCCGGACATACACCAGCTATATGCAGGGGGACTAGCTGACAAGAAACCCCCTAGGGTGAATGAGGATGATCTGAAAAGTAAAGAAGATCAAAGTGATGGTGCAGAGACTCCCACATATCCACATAACATGCACCCCATCATCTTCCAGACATAACGTAGCAGAGAGCCATAAAGGGTTTAATGGAGAAGGCATGTTTGGTCAGAAAAAGTGTGAGAGTAAGAAAAAGAGTGGATTTTATAGAGGATGGATTTTTAGGTAGAAGACTCCATCCACAGAAAAGTTACAAATTATACTAAAGGTCCTTTCACTGAATTGTTCTTCCGTGTTTTGTTTTCATTTTAGGATCTAAGGAAATTAAAAGGAAAACAAAATTATTAAACTGGAATTAAGTTTGTAAATACTTATCAGTTACTTACAGAAAACATCTAGAAGACTGATGGAAATTCAAAGTTAAAGTTACATTGAGTAAAATTTTCTTGAGACACAAAACCTTGCAGAGCTATCATTGGAGTCATGAAGCTTATATATCATCCCCCTTACTCAGGGCTGTTCCTAAACCCACAAACTAGAATGTAATGTTTTTGTTTTATGAAGGGGAAATGCAGCACTAATAACTACAAAGAAATAAGAAAAAAATACAGACAACAGTATAACACTGAGTCACATTTCTCATGTCCTAAAATATTACAAAAGAATGAAAGCAAAAAAGAAAGATAAAGAAGCCTTAGGAAATTGAGGCAAAATGATAATTACACCACATACCACCAGTCAGAAGAAACTAATACATCTCAAGAGCCAGAAAATTATCATATAGTTTAGCAATGAATTCAATGGATTTTTGAAGAAAACTGAAACACCCAATTAGCTTGTCAATATCTGAAAAACCTTAACCTACAGTTTCATTTTTATTTGGGAATATACTTCATTATGTTGTAATTAACTGGTATATGAAAGAGAACCCATTTCTCAGGGGAAATAAACTATGTATATTTAGGTTTAACTAAAGAAGTGTTTCTAAAAATGACAGTGAAATTAATGAAAACCCCTGCGTGGACACACTTTTGTCATTTTAAACCAATTTTATATTGATTTAGCATGTGTCAGTAAATTTACAGGCACAAGTTAAACAAACGTAAATAATTTTCAGCCAACACTCACAAAAATGTCTGGACTAATTTAACTAAAATAATATAAAAACTGATTTTAGTTAAAGCAGTGCAACTTTTGTGGTGTAGACAAGGCCTTAGTTTCCTCAACAATGCAAAAATGTCACCAGATCCTACAACCCAAGCAAAAGCTCACTAAACTCAGTAGGACCTTTTCCTGCATAAAGAGTACAGGATCAAGCTTTTGGGATGAAAATTTAAAAGTCTAAAAAAGAAAGGAGTATCCATGAAAGAAGGGGATTCACAGTCATGATACACATGATACACATGAATGGGCTAGTCTGGATTAAAGGATACCCCCTGGAATCCCAAGCAGTGGAGTAGACATTTTCAGGACAAGATTTCATGAAAGTTTTGCAGTATAGTAGGACTGAAAGCATAGTCGGCTTAGACTCAGAAGAGTGAAATTGCAGAGCAATATTTTAATGAGCAGCTTACATACTGATTTATTTTAGACAAGAAATGAAAGATTTCACACCATATTTCTAAAAGGGAAAAACACTATATATAATCCATAAATATAAGCAATAGTCTGTCTTATGTAAATCTGTGCACTAAAAACTACATTTTCCTCACAGTATAATTCATCAGAAAAATTAAAAAAATAACTGAAAGTCATAATACTTCTATGGGAACACAGTTTCTTAAGTTTTCTTTATAATAAGAAACCATATAATAGTTTCAGTGATTTCTATAAATAAAGAAAAGTGAAATAGCTGAAAATTTGTCTCAGAAATTTTTCAGGAGGTCTCTTTTACTAATTTAAAATAGATAAAAACAGTTTGGGTCTAAATCTAATTGTATCATGCTTATTCTTCTAGTACTGAAGTTTATCATTTTGCTGGATGGACAAGCTGGAAGCATAAGCAATAAAAACTAAAATATTTGGGGCATGTTGCAGGTAAAGGTGTGTTTTTACAGCACACAGTCTGCCCTAAGACGACTATTTATCATTCTTTGAAAAAGAAGACATGAAGAAACAATACTACGTGTGTGGCCTACACTGTCTTCACCTAATGCACTAAATAAAGTTGTTGGGTGTTTTTTTTTTTTTAGAAAATCATGCAGTTTCTGCACCATTGATAATCTGACAATAACTATTTATTGAAGGTAAAATACTCATTGTCTGCAGTCACTATTTGTTTTAATATATAATCTTGCTAACCAAATGATCTTTAAGCCATGTAGATAAGCAATGGCATGCAGAGGGTCACTTAAATGCCAATTTGACTGTTTCATAAACTTAGGCATTCTTTTCCCATGAGTCTAGTCTCAGCTACTTAATTGAAAGTAATATCCATTTACAAACTTTAGGCCTGCCATAAAAAGGCTCTCTCTGTGTCCAGCAAACCTTTCAGGGCTCTAAGACCAACAAAAGCTAATCATTAAAGCTTTTTTTAACCTCAATAAAGAGTGAAGTGCAGATGCAACTTAAGGTACACCAAAACAAATTAGGCCATAAAGATCTAATTGACAGGAAAAAAACTAGAGAATCTCACTTGTCATGAAATGAATAAGATCTGACAAATTAGTGTATAAACTGTACTTTCTGTATCTCCACACATGCTACAGAATTACATATGCTATCTATGACACTAGCAAGATATATAAGTTCTGTTCTCAAATTACAACTCTTCAACTAAAAACTGCTGAATAACTTTGTGTGAATTTCTGATATGTTTGGCTGGGTAGATGAATCAAAAAAAATAAACAAAATAATTTGTTTTGAGTCAATTCAAAACAAAAAATGTTGATGAACCAAAAGAGTCTAAAAAAATTAATTTGGGGTTGAGTGAAATGTTGCATTCAGCCTAAAATAAACTATTTCATTTTGCTTCAAGGTGAGAGGGTAACCTTTTTAAAATAATTAAAATGCAAGTAAAATCTAAAATGAAAACGAATTTCCAATCAAAATATGAAGATATTTAATTTTAAAATGTTGAAACATAACAGACTTTTTCTAAGCTTTTATTTACTATAACAAATTTGACATAAATTAAAGAAAGTGTCAGTCAACCTGAATCTGCATTTTTAGCTAAAAAGAGTGTCATTCAAAAAATCTCACCTTCCTCTACTGAATCTGAATAACCAACAGCCTACTATAATACAAATACAAGTCAAGGAATTCTTAATACATAAATAAAGAAAATTGTTTAAATCTGGAATTGTTTACCTTTGTGGCATTTTCCATGGTTTGTTTTTAAATATTGGATAATACTTAGATATTGTGTAGACCAAATTCTACTTCAGCATAAATGCTTCCCACCCCTGCTAAGTCAATGCCAGGGTTGAGTTTGGCCCAGTATGTTTAAGAAGTTGTAAATGAAAACTATTTTAAGGAGATAAACAGCAAATTCAAACAACAGTTGCTTCTGAGCTATAAAATATGGATCTGAACTTCCCCAAATTTCTGGGTGTTCAGACCCCGGATTTTGAAAATGGTCTTATGACTATTTTAAACCTGAATTACACTCATGTTTTTAAAAGTGTTTAAAATAGCTATAAAAATATTTTGCAATGCATTCACTTCATAACAATGAAAAGTTCTAAAAGTTACTTGAACCCTGGAGTCCATGTGGATAGCGAGGACAGTGATTGCTGTAGCATGAGATCTTTTTCTGATAATTTTTGCTGGACTTCTAATGGTTTAGCCTTTAAAATTGCTTCTCCTCTCACTTGTAGCAGCTGTGAGGATACAGCCTAAAAAGCAAGAAAACTGAAGGGTAAAAAAACAATTTTATGAGAAATTAAATATAATATGGTTGTTTTTATCTATGTTGAAATACTCTGAACTCTGGCAATTATGAACTTCAGAGCAAAACAAATCAGACAGTTAAGGCTGCTATAAATTAGAGAAACTGTAGTGGTTGTTGTATCTTACTCTACTTGATACATCAGTTTCAGGGGAAATCCAGAACTTGGGAGGCACAAACTTGCTATGCTCCTCCCCAGGCTGCACTATCTGAGGGTATGTCTACACTACACAATTAGTAGGGATGTTAAAATGTGTGTAATGGATTAACCATATAATTGCTGAAAAAGGTCAACGGTTACACAGATATACACAGGGCATCAGTCAGCTCACCAGGAGCCAGCGCAGGCCAGGAGCCCCCGCTTACTGGCTCCCTCTGACAGAGGAAGCAGCCTGGGGAGAAGCATGGCAAGTTTGTATCAGAGGCAGTCGCTCGGGGTAGCAGGTAGCAAGTAGCCATCTGGGTAACTAATAACCTCATGCTTATTGGTTACCTGTTTAAACGGCTATAGACTTACAACCCTAACAATTAGGTCAACATACAGCAACTTATGTTGACCTAATTATGTCAATGTCTACACTAGAGTCGTCCTCCCACCAATGTAAGTGCCCTATTACACTGACACTATAACTCCACCTCCACAAAAGGCATAAGACTAATGCTGGTGTCGTTAGGGCAAAGCAGCATTAATGTATACACTGTATCCCATACATTGACTGTCTTGTCAATTTCACACTGGAGAATAGGAAGAAGAAAAACTCCAGGCAGATTCTCACCACTCTTGGGGGGGGAATAGAGGGGCAAGAAGCTGTAGGTGGCTTCCCCATCTGTCCATCAGGAATAGGAAGTAAGTGGGGCAGCCTGCCAGGATCCCAGGAGCCTGTGGGGCAACCAGGTTTCGGTCAGAGAGACCAGACTCTTATATCTCAACTCTGCCCCTTTTACATCAGTGAAAGTGCTCATGGGGAGGACATGCATAACTGACCCAAGGAGGGTAGTATGGATGTAAACCATCACCATAATTACATAGTAAACCTAATATAGGTTAACTTAGGTTTGTAGCACAGACATACTCTGAGACTGGAAGTAAGGATGTAAAAAATGATTAAAAATGTAACCGTGTAGCCATTAAAAATCCTAGTAGTTACACAGTTACACGTGTCACAGTATAAGCTGGTGAGCTGGTGCATGCCAGGAGTCAGCTTATAGTATGAATATAGTATAAGTATAGTATAAACCAGCTTATAGTAAAGTATAGTAAAGCCTGGTTCCTAGCACACAGAGAGCTGGCTGCCGGCCTGACTCCTCAAGAGCCGGCTGCACTGCAGGCTCTGCAGTATAATCTATATATTACAGAGCCTACAGCATCAGGCGACAGCTGCCTTCCCAGGAGCAAGTCCAGGAGCCGGCAAGAAACCGTATCAGAAACGGATAAACTGATGCTTATTAGTTAACTATTTAAACAGTTACACTCTTACATCCCTCATTGGAAGCATGCTTCCCAGCATGCTAGCTCTGCTTGAGCTAGTGCCCTAAAAATTGCAGAGTATCTGAGGATTACATAGATTACATACCCAAGGGGTCCAGATAGGTTTGTATTCTGGAGTCCTGCCCAAGCTGCCTTAAACTATGCTGGTTATGCTACAATTTTCAGCACATTAGCTCAAGCTAGCACATGTCTATCTACCCATGTAGGAAGCATGCTCCCAGCAGCAGTATATACCCAAAGAGGGACAACATGATTCACCCCAAATACTTTAATTAAATCAGATATACAAATGTTACCTCTAAAGGTGATTTTACAGTTATTTGTGATTCTTGTTTTCTCTCTATATCCTCCAAAATTTTAGGCACTGAAAAAGCAGGTTCTTGTGAGAGTGAAATGTCTGAAGAAGATAACTGTAATCTATATTCCTCTGTTTCTACAGAATCAGGCATATCCTCTGAAAATGCAAGTGAAGCTCCTGGTGTTCCACTAAGTGATTCTTCTTCTTCTGTCTGGGGGGGGGGAGGGAGGGGGAGAGGAAGGAATTAAAATTGTATTTTTGTAAATATGACACATTTATACTTCTAATATACTTTCTAAACTACATAGTGTAAACACAAAATCATCAAAAGATCATTAAGATACTAAAATTAATATTCAGAATAGTTCAAGGTATTTTACCCACAAACATATTTATGAATCATTATAAGTTTTTATGTACATAAGAAGAGAGTTGCCAGGTTTAGGCTAAGGATGTTAAATACCGATTAATTTACTAATTCAGTAGTCGATGGAATTTCCATCAACTATTCGACCAATCGATAGGCACTTACGCATTCCTCCTTTGAAATGCACAAGAGCCCCAATGGCTCCTGTGCATTTCAAAGCAGAAGCACCCATGTGCAACCTGGAGTCAGTGGGACTTCCCTCTGGCCCCGGGCTGCAAGCAGCGTGCCAGCTTTGAAATGACTTACCAGTGGGGGCTCTTGTGCATTTCAAAGTGGAAGCACCCTGACCCAGGGCTCCATGCAGCACTGTCACTTTGAAATGCCATGCAGAGCCTGGGGTCGCCTGGGGACTCCCCAGTTGATTCTGGGCTCTGTGCGGCATTTCTGTAGAACCTGGGGTCAGCTGGGGACTCCCCAGCTGTTCCCAGGCTCTGTGCGGCATTTCCACAGAACCCAGAGTCAGCTGGGGAGTCCCCAGGTGCCCCTGGGTTCCACGTGGCGTTTCCACAAAACCTGGGATCAGCTGGGGACTCCCCAGTTGACCCCGGGGCTCTGCCGCTTTGAAGTACCCACTTTTCCCCCTCCTTTGCTGCCTCTATCTGATAGAGGCAGCAGGAGTGGAGAATCAACTAGTCGACTCAACTATCCGATAAGCATTTGCTTACTGGATAGTCGACTAGTCTTTAACATCCCAAGTTTAGGCTATGCATCCAGGACACCTGTGGAATCCTCTTTAAGCTCTGTCTACACCAGGGAGTTATTTCAAAATAACCCCCCTTAGGGCCAATTAATAAGCAGAGCATCCACACTGCTAAGGTCATAATTTCAAACTAAGGGGTGGTTATTTCAAATCTGTACTCCTGCTTTCCTTGGGGAATAACACTAATTTTGAAATAGTTATTTTGAAACACTGTGAGTGTGGACACTACACTAATGCTAATTCAAAATAACAGGCATCTGGCGACCTTTCACAGCTATAGTTCTGATTGTTCTGGCCACACCTGGCATCTCCACTACTCCCCTTTTTCTTCAGAGCTTAAAACTCCAGGCAATGGGAGAAGGACTTCTAACACGTCGGAGAACAATGTTAGCTATGTGCGAGGCACCAGCCAGCGAGGGAGCCATGATGGACCCCAACCCTCCCTCAGAACCTCCCACGACAGCCAGCACTCATGCTGCTCCCTCAACTGTCACTTGCAAGGGATGCAGGAGAGCTCTGGCTTGGAATGGTGCAGAGATCGTGGACCTTATCGAGGTCTGGAGGCACTAGACCAACCTCCAGGATCTCCACACCAGAAAGTGGAATGTGGAGGTCTACAACTGGATTACTGCCAGCCTAGCTGACAAAAGCCACAACCAGACCCTCGACTAGATTTGCATGAAGATTAAGGAGGTCTGGTAGGCCTACCACAAGGCCAGGGAGCAGAGTGAATGATCCAAGGCAGCACCTCACAGCTGTCACTATTTCTACCAGCTGGATACCATCCTGGGAGGGAAGCCAATCATGTCCCCCCAGCCCATTCTCATCGTCATGGAGCAGGAGGGCAGGGTGGTAGATGACACCAATGAGGAGAAGAAAGAGGCCAGCCAGGAGACCATACCCACCGGCCAGGACCTGCTCCTCAACCTGGAACCAGTCCCCCCCTTCCCAGGATGTCTCCTAGGATTCAGACAAACACAGGGAAAGTGCTTCAGGTGAGTTCTATAACTTTCCATATATACAAGTGGAGGCAGGCAGGGAGCTGCGAGGAGCTGCGCACTCCTCTCTCAGCCTATTTGGCCTGGGGGTTGTACAACAGCCTGTGCACATGCAGACCCAGTCCAGAGCATTCAGCCCCATGACACTCTTACATAGGAACCCCTTGGTAGTCAGGGGCCAGGATGGGAATGTACATGCTGTCTATGCCCCCACTCCACCCCACCCTCCGTAGTGACGACCCTCCATAGCAACAGCTGGTTGATGGCCTTGGCTACCTGAGGGACCACGGCCCCGACTGTGGATTTCCCCATGCCAAACTGGTTCCCGATGGAACAGTAGTTGTCTGGCATGGCGAGCTTCCACATGGCAATGGCTACATGCTTTTGTACCTGAGAGCAGGGGTGAGCCACTTGCAGAGCTTGAGGAATGTGACCTTCCACATGCAGAAGTTCTGCAGACACTGCTGGTCATCTCATAGCTGCAGGACGATACGGTCCCTCCAGTCCAAGCTCATCTCCTACCACTGTTGGTCATCGCATAGCACCAGGACCTGGGTGAGCAGGGCCTGCGGTCCACACTGGTCCTTGTCCTACTGGAGCAGCATACAGGCAGTCTAGACCAGTGTTTCTCAACCTTTTTTTATAAAGTACCCATTTAAAAAAAATTATAAGTACCCCCAGTACCTACAGTTTTCAGACACACAATTCTTTTTTCTACCATTGCAACACACTTGTTTAACAACTTAATTGTAGTTGGGTGGGCAATGAAAATTTTGGGTGTAAAAAGTACAAAAATAATAAAGCGCTGTAAAACTTAAAACAAAAATTCAGTTTTCTCCAAATTTCAGTTGTGTTGACATACCCCCCGAATTTCTCTCAAGTACCCCTAAGGGTACTTGTACCACTGGTTGAGAAACACTGGTCTAGACAAACTGTACCATGAGGCGCAGCATGAGACCCATGAGCCTAGCACTGCTTTGCAGCAGCTCTGCCTCCATGGTGAGTTCTGTGGCATCCGCAAGGGCCACCAGAACAAACAACATCCCTACATAGCTGGATGAAGACTGCATGGGGTGAAACCTATGACTTGGGGAGCAACCCTGACTATTTCCCTGACCCACCTTTCTGTGGTCAATGAAAAATTCCTCTAGAAATGAGAAAACTTGCCACCTACCTTCTGCTCTGGGTGAAGGTTTATGCAATTTTTGTCATAAAGTGCATTTTTTTAGAGGGCTAAGGTACAGCTGGACTTTTCTCCAAGACTTTGATTCCACTATTTTCCATTTGGGAATCTGTTGTCCTCACAGAGGCCGTGTCCAGACTCAGGGGTTTTTTCGGGAAAAGTAGCTTTTTCCCGAAAAAACTTCCCCTGCGTCCAGACTCAAGCCGCGTTCTTTCGAAATTATTTCGAAAGAACGCAGCTTTTCTTTCGATGGCGGTAAACCTCGTTTCACGAGGAAGAACGCCTTCCTTCGAAAGTTCCTCTTTCGAAGGAAGGCGTTCTTCAATGTAAAGAGGCCGTCTTCGAAAGAGAGCATCCAGACTCGCTGGGTGCTCTCTTTCGAAAAAGCGGATTTTTCTTTCGAAAGATCCGCCTGCAGTCTAGACGCGATCTTTCGAAAGATGCTCTTTCGAAAGATGCTTTCGAAAAAGCATCTTTCGAAAGAAGCCTGCAGTCTAGACATAGCCAGAGGTAACAGCAAAGGAACAAGAAGAGAAAGAAGTGCCTCCCACTGAAGGCTTGTCTATAGTGGGGAAGAGGGTTCTTAGTGGGGAAGAGAGAGACAGTTTGGGTATTGTGTTGTCAGCCATCACCTTTTCCAGCTTTTCTCCAAAATAGAGGAAGCCTGTAAACTTGGCCAACCATAGGACCTGTTCAGAGTGAGTGTCCACTTTTAAAGGGTGAAGCTATAAGTAGCCTGTCTCAAAACTTGCTTATAGGGTCCTATTTCTTTTCAGAATGGGAAGGGGAAAACTCATAAGTCAGAGACTGGATGCAGGGTGAGCACAATGTCAGTGAAGACTGCCCACTTGGGGTATGTCTACACTACAGCGCTAATTCGAACTAACTTAGTTCGAATTAGTTAATTCGAACTAAGCTAATTCGAATTAGAGCATCTAGACTTAAAAACTAGTTCGAATTAGCGTTTTGCTAATTCAAACTAGCGCGTCCACACTGATTGGACGCTGGGGTGCACTTAAGGGCAGCTGAAACCAGTTCCGGCAGGGCATCAGGTCAGTAGTTGCTTTGTGTGGCTGGCGTCTGAGGCTATCTGAGGCTCGTGCTTAAAGGGACCCCCCTGGACAGCTGGTTCTCAGCTTTTCCGCTTGCTTGCCTACCTCGCCGAGGGACAACAAAGCATTTTTCTCTGCGCCTGTCTATGTCGGTGCTTCTCTTTGGAAGCCAGAGCTCGCCCTGGGCTTTCTGGTGCAGTTTTTGGACTTGCTGCTGCAAGCCTGCCAGCAATGGCTGGAAGCTGCCTGGCACCACCTGGTGCATGTCAGCCCGCTACCTCTCCGCCTGGCCTCCCTGGGGGCCATGGAGGAGCCGCAGCAGCACCCGGACGCCAGCGTGCCCCGCCACATCTGGCGTCTGGACACCAGCAGCGACTGGTGGGACCGCATCGTCCTGGAGCGCTGGGGAGACAGACAGTGGACCCAGAACTTCAGGATGAAGAGGGACACCTTCCTGGAGCTCTGCGAGTGGCTCGCCCCTGCTCTGCGGC